TGCGTCCACGGCAGTCTGTCTGAAACGAAGTCTCGTTCTGCCTCTCCGTCAGTTCCTCTTCATTCATACTCCGCTCCTCCGCCTCGTTCCTTTTTCTCCAGCCTAATTCATTGTTTTGCTATGATGCATGCTGTCAATCACTCCTCCAGTCCCTGCCCTTCCATCTCTCTACTAGAATAAGCACAGGCCTGTCATCTCTCTTATTCCGACTATTTTGGGTTTACTTGCGTTCCTCCTTTGCTGCCTCCCTCATCTGTCTATTTCTGCCACACATTTATTCATTTATCTCTATTTTTACTCAGTGGCGATCCCTGTCATATCCCAAGCCATTCTGACGCAGATGGGATGATGCAGCAGGAGAGAGAGAGAGAGAGAGAGAGAGACAGAGAGAGACAGAGAGCAGTAAGCTGGCAGCAAAGTAACAGCATGTTGCAGCATTTTAGGACTTCATTCAACACAGTTTCCCATTTTTGCTCAATTCACACCGTCTTCATGAGGTAACAAGCAGTTTAACTGGTTTTACTGAGCTTAAATACATACATTGAATCGAACAATACAAAACAAAAGTTTAGTTTAGATGAACAAGAAAAAGCATCTTATATTACGTCAAACCTCAAAAAACACTTCAAAATTTGCCGTATTCCACACTTTACAGCAGGGGTGTCAGCCTCAACCACTAAAAGGGCCATATTACAAAATCTCAACAAATCTGCGGGCCAGCTACACTGTAAACCTCACTGCACATCTTAATGAAAGAATTAAATTAATACAACTGAAATACTACACAAAGTTGGAGTAACTTAATCTGAAAAAATCAAATGAAATTGTTGAGATAGTAACTCAGACATTTTGAGTGAGATTGTTTTTTCAGCATATTTTGAGTTAACTTTATTTAAATGTATTATATTCACTATTTTTATTTAACTTTACATGCAAATACAAACAGGCCAATAATGGGTTGTTTTTAAAGACTGTTGAAAATTTAGTGTGGCTTAATGTGATACACAGCATAAATGTTTACATTTAAATGATTTTTTCATCATTTTATTTGGATGATTTCAGACTCAAAGAGCCAATCAAACGGGATCTTTGAGTTAAATAAACTTATTGCAGTTTACTTTAGACTCTCAGCGTTACTTGAGTAATGTATGGTCAATGCAACCTTTTCGAGTAAAACTCACATCATTCCTATTGGCTCTCTGTGTGTTGTCATACTCCCCAGCCTACCTTCCCATAAGTTTATAAACTGTTGCGACTCATGCCAATCAATACTGGTCAAAAATCAGTGTAGAGAGGGCTGAGTTGCTAAGTTTCTCTCTGCTTAGTGCAGTTCTGCTGAGGTTTAATGCCACAGAGACTACTTCTGGACTGTACTGCTAGTGTTTGAAGAGCTGGTCTGTAGTGACATTAAGGTGGACAAGACCCTGTTGCAAATGTCCACGATTACATCTCTGCAATGCAATACAATATAAATTTGTCAAAATGATAGCCTATTGGTGAATTTAAACTACTATTACTTAATTATTTTGAGTTAGAACAGCTCACACATAAGTCCCAAATACTCAATCATTTTAATGTCAACTAATGGAGTCAGTACAGTTTACTCAATTTACTTAAGCATGAATGAGCCATTGAACTTAAAACATTTGAGGTAATCGGTTTTCCTCATTTGAGTTGACTTAACTCATCAGGTTTTACAGTGTGTGTTTGTATTTCTTAACCCAAACTGGCCATCGTTTTTTCAAAATATGCCAAATTGTTTTATATAGAACAATAGACTACATTAGCTACAGATAACTGTTAATCCTCTTTAAATGTCCCCAAAGGGGTTTGCTTGAACAAAACACCTGCCGTGTTTTCTTTTTATGGTGCTGTCCTACAGATGCACATTATGTTGCAGTGCATGCTGGGGATTGTAGTGCAGCTCATGGTGAAATGGGCTAATATTAAAAGAACATTAAAATAGGCGGGCTGAATAGGATTGTGCTACAGGCCAAGGCCTTGTGTTTGATATGTGGGCTTTACTTTTCAGAGGCAACTAGTAATTAGTAATTTACACTTATGTGGCAGTATTTTTAAATGATAATATTGAATATTCAAGTATATTTGTGAGGAAATTAACCTACTTTTTCCTCAGCTCCACTTAAAATATACTGTGGGGTTCATAACGTGACACATGGGGGTGCAGAATCAGTGAAGTTTAGAGGAATGGAATAAGGAACAGAGACTGAGAGCTTTTGAAGCCATTTTTATTAAAAATGAACCACAATAATAATAATAATAATAATACTAACACCTTGTCTCTTGTGTTAGGGGTGTCGTTATGTTTGAGGAATCTTGCCAGTGCACACCCAACTTCAGGGGCTGCTTGATTAGTTGTACCAGCCGAGGTTTCAAAGAGGTTAGAGGGACGTGCCTATATATGTGCACCACTCTGTCTTGTTCCTTAGGTCAGAAGGCGGACACAGTCCCATGTACTTTTAGCTATTGGTCAGCGAGTGTAGTGTAGCCACCTTTTGGTTCAGCTTTTATTTCTGTAGCTATGTACTTTTGGTTTAGAGTAGGCAAGCATGGTTGTGTTTTGTTTTGTTCTTTCTTTGGTGCCGTTCACGGTTTGATCCTCCCAGTGTGGTACTAGATATCATAGATTTTTGTTATGGTTAGTTTTTAATAAAAATGGCTTCAAAAGCTCTCAGTCTCTGTTCCTTGTTCCTTTCCTCCATGCTTCACTGGTTAAAGCTTTTAGTCACATATTATGAACCTTACAGTATATGTTCAGTATGATGACTTGTACTGTTTTTAATTGCATGTGTTAGTTGAACATGCATATCAAGTTAAATATGCATATGCAAAATAGATTTAATATATATCCAATTAATATGCATTTACTCAAATGATTTTTGTTTGATTTGTTGAATTCAGTACAGTACGCCTCAGAATTTAAGGTGGAACGGGAAAATTCGAACAAGAAGCTGGAGAATGAGAAGTGACTTCAGCCTTGTAAAACAGTCAAACGTTGAGAGACATTTTACAATAAGCTGCTCTGGTTTTGAGGAAAAGTTTCCTGAGGGAAAGGGGAGCAAAGCGGCTAAAGATTAAAGCAGAGCAAAGTAGATCTGCGCTCTCGTTTATATCGTCTAGCCTATACTAGCACATACTGAGACATACTGGACATAAAATATTGTGGCTCCCAAGCTGGTTTGATTTTTGTTGAAAGGCAAAATGGCTCTTCTTATCATTTGGGTTGTGACTCCTGACCTAACCTGGCTTTAATGCAGAGGGAGCTGGTCGGATTTCTCACTCATCCAGTTGTGTTTTTGTTATGTGCCGCCACAGACTGTCCGGGCGCTGCACTTACCCACTTCCAAGTTCCGCCTTTTGCATTCCGTCAACATTACGGTGTAAATTAAATATTTAGAAAATCGATTTTTGACGTTTGTGAATCGATTCAGAATCGTTCACGTCCGCATTGCGATGCCTCTAATAATCGATTTTTCCCGCACCCCTATTACACAGTGAAGTCACTAAGAAGCTAAAGGGACACTCTGCAATGCAAACCTGGTTAATTTACTATGAAGTACATTTTTTGGTTGTGCTGATGAACCGTTTTTTACAGTGTACTCTCTACAGTGAGGTTTCCCCTTCTGATGATGACTTTGTTTTAGGGTGGATAGTTGGGTGGATGTTTTTTTTCTGCTAGCTGGCTAATTGTTCAGCTGAATTACTTCAACAAAGAAAAGAGTTTAATGACCAACTGAGGTTGGTGCTGTATCACTATAACACTATGACACTATTTTGAGTGTCTGTTTTAGATTAAATGAACACTCAGCAGAGTCTCAGTAACATAACATATCAATGATGTAGCAGCAGTGAATGAATTCAGCTGATTTGTATTCAGAGACATTTAATTAACTGTGTGAATAATATTTACAGTGAAATGTTTATAATCTGCTGAATTCAGCTGTTTTTCACTTTATTTGGAGAGTCAAAATTCATATCTGTAGATGTTTAACCTGAGAGGTCACTGAACATGTAATGTTTAATACAGGCTGTTACAGACACACTGACACCATCGGGTTAGGATTAGGTTTTAGGTTTAGGTTAAGGTTGTGGTTAGGATTAGGGCCAGGGTGAGGGTTTGGATTAGGTTTTGGATTAAGGTTAAGGTTGTGGTCAGGATTAGGGTTTAGATTAAGATTAGGTTTTGGACTGAGGTAAATTTAGGGTTAGGATTAGGGCCAGGGTGAGGGTTAGGATTATTTGGTAACTGAAGGGACTTTGATGAAACTCGTTGAGCTATTATGAGGTTATAGAAGTGTGTAATAAACCTTAGCCATGTTAGAGGGCAAAATTAACCCCAATCCAGGTTTATTTCTAACAAATTCTTATTATTCAGTGACTACAGGGACGTCAATGCAAACTAATGGAGCTATTCTTAGGTTATAGTAGTGTGTAAACTTTGGACACGCCGGCGGACCCATGGGTTGTTACGGGGTTAATTGGTGAAATCTCTGATTTCTAAAGCTGTAATGTTTTCAGTCCCAAGTCACTTCAGTAATTTAAGTTAATTAAGTTACCCTTATTAGTCCCACAAGGTGGAAACTTCACCTCTGCTTTTTATCCTCCAAATATAACTTTTTTTCTCGAAATATTATGACTTTTGTTCTTGAAATAGTATGACTTTTTTCTCTAAATATTACGACTTTTTTCTTGAAATATTACGACTTTTTTCTCTAAATAGTACGACTTTATTCTCTAAATATTACGACTTTTTATCTCGAAATATTATGACTTTTTTCTCTCGAAATAGTACGACTTTTTCTCGTAATATTACGATTTTATTTTCGAAGTCCACTATTTTTATTTTTATTAACAGTGGCCCTAAAACGCCGTCGTAGGGGTTTTAGACTCAGAAAAAAAATTCAGGCAATCTGGCAACCCTGTAACGTCTCTTCATCCACACCAGTAGGGGCAACAGCCCAGTACGTGCTGCTCAGCGCAGGGCGGCAGAAGAAGACAAACAAACGCTTCAAACAAACAGTTTCTTCGATTCCTTCAAACCTTTCGGCAGCTAACAAACACACTGTGGCGACCAAAACATTAAAAAATCCTGCAGAAAATGATGCACAGATTTTGTGAGTAGCAAAAGGCGACATTAACGTTACAGGGAAATATCAGGGCTTCCTGTTTTGGGTTGCAGCCGCGCAGGAACAGTGAGAGCCGTGTTAGCAGGCTAACGTTAGCCAGCCAGGACCGACCGACAGACATGCTGACCGGAACGTTGTTGTTTGTTGATTGTTGTTGTTTATTCCTCAGCCCAGTAAAGCTCCTGGACACTCAGTCACTTCATTTTAATTAGATTGAGCGGACAGGTGGCCGTGCTAATGATGCAGTCTAACGGCGATAGATGTCAGTTCAGCTAACGTTGCGCGCAAACGTGGCTAATCCCTTTATTTATCGCCCTGAAGGGCTGTTTGTTATTAACGTTATCTGAATTAATCATACTCGTTATTTTTATAATGGTTTGATTGGATGAAAAAGGTAGTTTAACCATTTTTCTAACAACTAACTAACCTTTTCAACTCATTGAGACCACCAGTGGTTCCAAAACACACTTCGTCATATTCTTCATAACTTTCATATTTCATAAGCTACATTCTAAAGGTGGGGGTCGTATGAGAGCTGTAACTGTCTTCTTTTCAGTCAAATAGAGGGGTGATGTAATTTTAAACCCTTATAATAAAAGAAGCTGAACTCAATTTTTATGTCTACTGAAAGTCGACCCATTTTTCCACAAATCTGGGCTATAAACTATAAACAGATGGCGTCTCTTCAGTGATCTACTCTGTAAAAATTACTTTTATAAAATAATACAAAGAGCGTCTAAGATTTTTGGCTTTCAGCCGTAAACTGTAAGAATATAGCAATATGTGTATCATAAAACACATGTTCTGTTGATTTGATGGGAGCTTTTACCAAAAAAGAAAAAAATAGATAAATAAAATAAAAAGAAAAATGTAATTTATTTACTGCAGTTCCTGAATAATTTGCTGTACGATTTGGTCATGTAAATTCAGATGTACAAACCAAAAATATACCCTGCAGAATAAGAGGTTTAAGTAATATAAAAATTATTGCACACATGTTGTGTCCAGGAATGGAATAACATTACTTTTTTTTTACTGGACAGGAAACCAAAATTTTGGACAGGTGGCAACCCTAGTGAACACTCAAGGGAGGGCGTTTAAAGGGGAGCTCCACCAATTCTTCAAAGGTTCCACACAATCAAATGGTTAACATGTAAACAAAGCCATTAAGAAGGTTTGGTGTGAAATGCTCAGTTCTGGAGAAACTTAGAGTCAGAACTGTTCACAGTGTTGGTGATAGGAACCAGACGTCTGAAGCCTCTGAAAGCTCCTTATAGAAAGCTATTACATGTCATGGTCATAAAGACACTGACTGATGCCCAATACATTGTTTTATAACAGTTTTGTGATAAAGTTTTCATCCATCTGTAGCGAGGGGCACATGCAGGGTGTTCTAGGGCAACATAGTCTCCGAAGAAAACTTTTTTACATAAAAACATACATGTACATATAAAAACTTAGAAGACATGTAGTTTCACATGCCCCTGGTTCCTATCACCACCATTGTAACGAAATCTGAGTCTGTAATATTCTCTACAATGGATCATTTCATATCACAAAACTCCCGATGACTTTATTCGCATCGCAACAAAGGAATTATGCAAAAACTTTGAAAAGTCGGTGTAATTCCCATTTAATCATGAGGGAAAATTTCATTCAAGGTAAACATGACAGGCTCACCCTCAGAGGCATCCTGCTAGTCATAGTCAGTTCTCCCAATGAAACTAAAGAAGCTGTCATATAATGTATATTTGTTATTTATTTTTTTCCGATGAAGAATATGGCCCATTTTGTCGCTAGGGACTCAAATCCTCGGTCCCTCAGGATCTCCCTCATGCAGCTGAGTAAGAGGGAGCTCCATAAATACGGTAAAAGGAGCCAAATAAGTGAGCTCCCATGTATCATATGACAATAGATCCTTTTTTTGTGATTGGTTTCTGTCAGTGGTGTATTTTTATTTATTTATTTTTTGTTATTGTGTAGTAGGGTTGGGCGATATGACAAAAAATAACATCGCAGTACTTAAACATTTTCACGATACTCAATATGCATCACATTGTTTTGTTTTTCATGAGGTATGAGAAGTTGGAACAGTCAAAATAGAACCAGCTAAATGCATCTAGTACGCTGATTTTTATTCTCTGTTTCAAAGGGTGCGCTGCACTCAATCCAATTAACCAGAACCAATTAGCTGTCGTATAGAAAGATGCACTTGTTTATTGTACTGTACGATGTATAAAGTATTGATGATAACTACAATATATCCAGGAAAGTATATTGGGATGTAATTTATCGTGTTAACGATAAATACCATTATATTGCCCACCCCTGTTCTGTAGCCTATTGGAATTGGTGAATGCTGTGGCCTGCGTTGCATTGCCTAAACCCACTGGACTTCATTCATTTTGGATAGATCACAGTATCACAATATCAGATGAGCTTGCATTAATGAAATTATTGACCCCAAGCCCTCTGAGTGCTGGTACTCTGTGCTATAAGAATGACACAGATGGCAGCTCAATTTGATTTTCCCCTTTAAATCTCTTTAAAAGTGAACCTTGTTCAGGTTTGGGAACGTTAACCAGACACAAATCAAACCTAAGAAAATTTCTGATTTTATTCTCATTTCATATACTTTCTAAACAGTCTGAAGCACCTGACAGTGTAACCCATATTGCACTTAGCTGTCAGCTGCTTGGTACCAAGTGCAAAAAATGAAGTTTAAAAACGAAAAACAAACTGCTGAACTGTGATAATGCTCTTTTATGGGCATTATGTCATGCATATAGTGTTCACATCTATAAAATAAATCACTACTGAAAAGCAGTATCATGGTATGTCAGCATCATGGTATACGAATGTATTGCCCAGTGCTAACTTTAATAAGGCTGATATTAAAGTTAAAACATCAGCCATGTTAATCTTGTTAAAACATTGTCTCCTCACCAGCAAATAAAAACGGATTATGGTATTGAATTTTTGCCCGACAACAGATTTTCCCCTCTAGTTCATGCTGTAGTTAATCAAATTCTTAATTAAAACTGCTTCCAGTAGGCTCTGCTTGAACATTCACCATGATTTAATAAGATGTGCATGACCATAAATAAACACAGGTCCTTATTTCCTGGAGAAAGAAAACTCTCTCAAAGAAAAATGTAGTTTTCTCAAGTACGTAATTGTAATTCATTACCATTTAACCAAGCAGTCATTGTTTAACAGTGTATGTACCTGGCTTGGTTCAAAGTATGTAATTTATATATATGTGATTGTTAAAGTTGTCACCAGCTTCAGTCATTTATTAGTGAGAAAAAACAAGTCATCATCATCACATTATGACCACCTCCTTGTTTCTACACTCATTGTCCATTTTATCAGCTCCACTTACTATATAGGTGCACTTTGTAGTTCTACAGTTACAGACTGTAGTCCATCTGTTTCTCTGCATACTTTGTTGGCCCCCTTTTACCCTGTTCTTCAGTGGTCAGGACCCCCATGGACCCTCACAGAGCAGGTACTATGTGGGTGGTGGATCATTCTCAGCACTGCAGTAACACTGACGTGGTCTTGGTGTGTTAGTGTGTGTTGTGCTGGTCTGAGTGGATCAGACACAGCAGTGGTGCTGGAGTTTTTAAACACTCACTGTCCACTCTATTAGACACTCCTACCTTGTCAGTCCACCTTGTAGACGTAAAGTCAGAGACGATAGCTCATCTGCTGCTGCAGTTTGTGTTGGTCTAGTCCTTCATCAGTGGTCACAGGACGCTGCCCACAGGACGCTGTTGGCTGGATATTTTGGTTGGTGGACTATTCTCAGTCCAGCAGTGAAACTGAGGTGTTTAAATCTCCAGCAGCTCTGCTGTGTCTGATCCACTCAGACCAGCACAACACACACTAACACACCAAGACCACGTCAGTGTTACTGCAGTGCTGAGAATGATCCACCACCCAAATAGTACCTGCTCTGTGAGGGTCCATGGAGGTTCTGACCACTGAAGAACAGGGTAAAAGGGGGCTAACAAAGTATGCAGAGAAACAGATGGACTACAGTCTGTAACTGTAGAACTACAAAGTGCACCTATATAGTAAGTGGAGCTGATAAAATGGACAATGAGCGTCGAAACAAGAAGGTGGACATGATGTTATGCCTGATCGGTGTATATGTCCAAGGTATGTCACATTTTTCTGTCTTACATATTTCAGCAAGATATAATAGGATCACACGTTGTAAGGACATGCTATAATCATATTTTTCATGCCAGTTCATCTGTATGCATGCAATTGGTGTGGTATTTTTTCTCATATTCATGCATTTATCTGTTTATGTATGCATGTATTTTAGGAAATATTTTAATTTTGGCAGTGTTACATGTACTAAGATAATTTGTCATCAAAGTGGCATTTTTCTCAATTTAATTTTAGCTCTGTTTTCTTTTTTTCTCCCTTTTAAGCTCCCCTGCTTACAAGTGATGATGACATGGAATCAGATGATGAAGCTCTTCAGACTCCACTCTCTCCAGGCAAGAGGCGGAAATGCAACAAACAAATCAGTGGAAGTCCTGATCACGATGATGACAGTGTGTCAGGTGAGGAAAGGTCCACTGAAATGCACAAGGACCGTCCATTGTGGACACATAGCTACCTGAGCCCAATTGACAGTGATGTAGATGATGGTTCCTTAAAGCACCGGAGAAGAGGTGGCCCTAAAAGTGCTAAACGACAAACAAAGAGTGCACAACAGGATGCTGGAAGTGCTGAAGTGAAGGAGAAGCCTAAAAGAGGACATAAGGCCAAACAGATTAAGGGTTGTAAATTCATCAGCCCGGCAGAAAATGAATCTAGGTCAGAAAGCGGTGTTTCAAAAGTGCCACAGAAGAAAAGAGGTCGCCCAAAAAAAGTAAAGCAAGCTGAGAATGTATCAGAGAGCTCAGACCAGGAATCCAAAACCAATGCCAGTAGAAAAGAAAAGGAACAGAACCATAAACAGACCAATAAACATATCCCAACAGAGACTGCTTCTGACCCTGAAAATGAGGTCGCTGCCAAGAGGGCAAAGAAACAGAAAGCACAGACCTCCAAGAAGCCAAGAGGACAGCGTAGCACTGCTCCAGCAAGCGCTGCAACACCAAACCACAGTTTGTCTGGCTTGGAGGACACAGCAGGGCGTCAGAAAAACAAATCGTCTGTCCAGAACTTTGAAAGAAGTTCGGACTTGGAAGATGACGGATCAAGAGGTAGTAGCCCTGGGCACTCGGATAAACATACTGATGACTCTGGTAATGAAGTAGAATCAGCCTCATTGAAACAGAGTTGCAAAAAATTCAGAAAGAACAGAAAAAGCAGTTGGGGTCTTAAAGACCCTTCCAGTTCCTCCGAGTCAGAGGATGACGAGAAGAAGCAGCGCAGGAAAAAAACGAGCAAGGGAAAGAGGCTAGCTTCAGGGGACTCTGATTTCCTGGAGTGGCCTATAGGTGGTTCCTCAGCCAGGCCGCGCGCCAAGAAAAACGAGGTAAGACAGCGCAAGCCAAAAGGTCCAATTGAGTGCAAAATATGTGGCCGGAACATCAGATGCAAGGCCATAATGGAGAGGCACATGCTCACCCACACTGGCGAAAAACCGTTCGAATGTGATGAATGTGGCAGACGCTACACCAGCAGTTCCAACCTGCGCATCCACCAGCAGAGCCACACTGGCAAGATGGACTACTCCTGCGAAGAATGCGGGCAGAAGTTCACACACCTACCCTACCTGAAGCGCCACCTGCTCAGGCACTCGGGCAAGAAGCTGCACATATGCGACCAGTGCGGCAAAGGCTTCATCCAGAAGTACCACCTGACGCGCCACTTGCTGGTGCACTCGGGCAAGATGCCCTACGCTTGCGACAAGTGCGACGCCAGCTTCAACCGCACAGACTACCTCAGCCTGCACATGCGCAACGTGCACCTGAGTGAGTGCAGCGAAAACGACATCAAGCCCGAGGTCAAGAGGCCCTACAAGTGCGACGTGTGCGAGAAAGCGTTCGCCACACGCACCACCCTGGAGGCGCACGCACGCGTGCACTCGGGAATTAAGCCTTATTCATGCAACATTTGCCAGCGCAAGTTTAAACAGTCAAGTCAGATGCACTCGCACATGCGCACACATTCGGGAGAGAAGCCTCACTCCTGCAACTTGTGCGGAATGAAGTTCGCACGCAGAAACTATGTTAAGGTCCACAAGGAAAAGAGGCATGCGGCTAAAAACGACTCTCCGCAAAGTTCGTGATCTTTCATTCACCGTTCAAGAAGGCGAGAATATTACTTCACAGACAACCTTTATTAATGTATTTTGTATTTTATTTTTTATTTGATACTTGGCACTTGAAGATCAGTATAGTATATATGTCAGTGGACATGCACAGACAAGACAAAGCGGCCTCAGCTTTGCACCTTGACAGTGACGATCTGTTTCTGTTTTTATCATGGATCTCTCATTTTGTTAGCCTATAAGTTTTTCATTGGAAATTAGTCCATGGGATAGTATTTATAAAAACATCGGTTTTCTCTTTGATCACCTTTTTGGTTCTGTCAAATATTCCTTTCAAAGATTTCCTTCGTAAATTTTACATTTGCAATTGCAGACTCTTTCTTTCTTTCTTTTCCTTAAGAAAGTGCTGAAATGTTAGATTAAGCTCTAGCAGTACAAACTGATATTGGTGTAAGTTAGTCAAGAAATGAATGTACTTTAAAATTCAAATTTTATGAATAATATTTTTATTCATATATATTTTTAAAATAATACTGAAAAGCATCACAGTGTTTGGAATGTAAGGCCGCTTGTGCCCTGCAGAGGGCAGCACACTCATGTTGCTACATGCCAGTTACATGGGAGAAAGCTTGCACTTTCTACACTGTATACATTTATGAAGAACACTTCAATGGGTGTGTGCAAACTATGTTTATATTGTTCATACCGCTGTTGTCGGAAGAAAACCTCGTATCTCCATTTTTGTTGTTTTTCAGTTTTTGACATAATTTGAAAATACATGTTGGCCTTTATATTGTGTATAAATTTCATGATGAATGGACCAAAAGAAACGGCCCAGAATGACTTGGAAAAAAGTCTGGTTCCATTGACTTACATTAAACGTAAAGTAGTTTTTTTCCTTCTCCTGTAAAGTTTTCATTTTCAGAGATACAAGGTTTCTTTTGACAACAGCAATATATTACTTTATAATACATATCCCAGAATACACTATACGGCACACTGTTTAGTAGCCATTGTATTGGTTAGGACCCAGTGGTTCTTACACCAGACCTCTGGGACCTCCAGCTTGTTGACATTTTTTCTCTATCCTTATGTGTTGCAGTTTAGGTTGTTGCAAAAATATGGACCTTCTTGAGGGTCCCTGAGGACTGGTTTGAGAACCACTGCTTTAACCCAGAGCCTAGGCCCTAGGGCAGGGAAAACAAACAGTATGTACAGTATCAGGGCCCAGGACTGACTTTGGGAACCTCTGCTACCTGCGTCAACACAGATCAACTTATGGGCTGAATTTAACAGCTGCTCTGGTCCCTTTTAAGTCCTGCACTCGGCTTAGCCCAGTGGCCATCAACCCTGGTCTACTGTCCTGGGAACTTTAGTTCCAAACTGCAGTGAACATGCCAGTTAATTAGCTGGAGCAGGTGTTGCAGATTGTGGTTAGAACTAGACTCTGCAGGATGGTAGATCTCCAAGACCAGGGTTTGTGACCACGGTCGTAGCCTGTGTGTTGGCTAACTGGCCTTAGATGTTCAGCAGTGGCTGAGAGGTGGAGTGTGTGGGGTAGGGGCTTAACGTTATGCCCTATGCCAGTGCTGTCGAATCTTATCCGCAAGAGGCTGGTGTGGCCAGGTTTTAATCCCAAATGAGCACTTAAATCCTCTTGTTAAATCAGTTGGTCACAGTCTCTGAACAGCTGATCAGAAAGTTGGTCAGAATGAAAACTGGATAAGATTGGACTGCTGTATGCCCTCAAACACAGTGGTCTCGAAACCGGTTCCTCAGGGACCCTTGGGTGATCCACATTTTTGCTCTGTTGATATGTATTTGGAAGCTAGGTTGGAGCAAAAATGTGGACCCCCCGAGGGTCTCGAGGATTGATTTGAGAACCACCGCTCTAAACCAGGGGAGCTCAGTCCTGGTCCTGGAGATCTACCACCCTGGAGAGTTCAGATCCAACACACCTGTCTCACACATTCAAATGCCTCTGAAGGCCTTGATTACCTGGATCAGGTGTGTTAGATTAGGGTTGGGGCTAAAGTCTGCAGGGTGGTAGATCTCCAGGACCACGACTGGGCACCCCTGTTCTAACAGAATGAAAAAATTCACATTGTAAAAAAATTGGTTTTGCAAGGAACATACATTCTCATTTGTGCAAAGCAAATCAGGTACGAATAAACATACAAAAATAGCTTAATCATTGTTCATATTCAGTCAGTACTGTAGGTAACAAATGAAACCAATTATAAGACACTAATGCTACTTTCTATATGAATGCCGACTGGAATGGTTTAACATTTATTTTGTGATTTACTGGAAAGCAAGCAATACTGGAGGTTAAAATAGCATTCCCTTGTTGAGGTGGTCCTAAGAGGAGGTAGGGTTGTTGGCCTTGTTCCGTTCCACTGCTTGACGCCGGCAGTGCAGGTAAACGAAGAGGGGGTGGATAAAGGCCAGGCAGCTCAGGATGGTCAGAGCAACGTTTACCTAGAGTACAGGCAAATGCATCACTTGCAGAGGCAGCACATTCTTTGGACAATAACAGCAGCAAGTTCAAATTTAAACAGGTTAACTTTTAATATGACTCTATGTCCAGTTCAGTAAGGCTGATATGTAGGGCTGGGTAATATAAGGATATTGATTATTATGCTCTAATATACTTTTTTCTGAGCATCAACTTCTGCCAGTTTTATTACAAAGAGGATTAGCATAGTTTGTCTCAGTATTTTTAAAAGGTGGACTAAAGGTTCTTTTTGTAGTTAACTTATCAAACCTGTGATATACTTTGCTTATCCCTATTGATACAGTACGCTGAATGACCTGACTAGATGGATAGAACTTTATTGATCCTGAAGAGAAATTGCTGTGTTTCAGTAGCAAGACATATAATTGCACATAAACTTACATATACTATGCAGAAAATAGAAAATAGACATAAATCTAGACATAAGTTAAAGTACAGGAGAAATAAAAGTATATCTTTTTACATATTTACATGGCATATGAGACTGATTTGTTGTATTTACAAGACAGCAGGCACTGAATGGTATGAGGTAATCTAAAAGCACATCATATAGACCTAACTAACTCTGAGTTGCATCAATATTACAGTGTAAAGTACATAGTGAAAGTGTCATTACAGTAGTAGTTATGATATATTTCACAGTGTGTATTAACAGGAGAGGTGATACAGTGATGTGGTTCAGCTCAGTTCAGACAGCAGGAGATCAGTACCATCTCTGCAGTAAGGAGACTCGTTGTCGAGCCTTATAGCAGTGGGTACAAAATATACATATAGCATATACATTATAGCAGTGCCTTCCACCCAATGACAGCTGAGTTTGCATGTTCTGCCCGTGTCTGCGTCGGTTTCCTCCCACAGTCCAAAAACATGCAGTCAGGCCAATTGGACGTGCTAAATTGCCCCTAGGTTAAGTGTGTGTGTGTGAATGTGTATGTGTCTGTCTGCCCTGCGATGGACTGGCGACCTGTCCAGGGTGTATCCTGCCTTCCGCCCAATGACAGCTGGGATAGGCTCCAGCACCCCACCGCGACCCAGAAGGATAAGCGGTTTAGATGATGGATGGATGGAATATAGCAGTGACAACAAAGGAAAAGTTATGTTTTATGACTATCTGTATGCTATCTGTTATTTTGGGCTCATGAAATTTTAAAAGAGTTGCTAAGGGTCCAAAATGAGGCAGTAAGACTGAAACTGAGTTTTAGTGATAATTTGTTGTGGTGGGGATTAATGAGTAGAACATAACTCAAAATTCAGATGTCAGATATTTTTGCGCTTTGCAGGAACGTGAACACATTTGGGAGTTTTTTTTTTTTCCATGGCAGTGATGGGAAAGTCGTGACCCAGCCTCGATAAGCAAATTCTTTAGAACTGTAATGCATGTGTGGGTGAGACGGAGAAGACGACGTCGCGTATGCTATGTGTGTGACTGACTCACAGCAAAGGGGTTTCCACCCAGAGGTCCATTGATGAGAGCGAAGCAGGGATACTGCAGGAGTGACACCACAGCTGAGAGAGCCATCACTGTTCCATACAATTTCCCAAAATGTGCAGGAGGGAATCTGTGCCCACACAAAACATTTAAAGCGTTAAGTTTGGTGAAGAAGCAAATTTACATGTATTTACATGTTTTTATCCAGGGAAGGTGTTGTAAGTTAAGGGTGCTGAAATTTTAGGTGGAATATGTTGTTGATGCTGTGCCAAATTTAAAAAAATATTTTTAGATAATTACATCAAATGCATTTATCTAACAAATGTCATTGTAATTACAACAAATGTTGAAAGTGGCTTGGCTCACTGTAATAAAAATGCAGTGTTAAGCTAAAGTACTACATACTGCAGACTTAGAAAATGTATAAATAAAACATAAAAATACAAACTCCGCCTTAAAACAAAGACAAGTAGGTTTTCACTGCACTCAATTTATTTAATGTTTAAATGATTTTTAGCAGTGCCACTCCCACAATCTGGGGGTGCTATGGTCCCCTCAGCATTCCCGCTTTCTACCTCCATGCTCTAATCACTAACAATGGACAAAAGTATTGACAAAATTCATCACATGACCAGTGGTCACACCTTCACTGACTAAAATTTGGGCTCGTTTGTTTGTGTGAACTTACGCCATGCTGATGAAGGCGGCATTGCCTCCGTAGAGGAAGGACCTGTTGAGGACTTGCAGGATGAAGGTGAGGTACTGCAGGGGTAGGAGAGGAATGGCAGCACACAGGGAGAACAACACACACTGCAGCACTGTCACAAACAGAGACAGTACGGCTGCCTTCAGGTCTGCCTCAGTCTCACTCTGGCCTGCAGCATGAATAAAACCAGAAAACAGAAAGAAAAGCTGTGGTTTTTGGGATGAAAAGGAAAACCATTAACTGCATTAATGTGTGCATGAGTGTTGGCGGTTGTATTAAAGCAGTGGTTCCCAACCCTGGTCCTGGAGAACCCCCTGCCCTGCTCATTTTAGTGTTTTTTTTCCTGCCCACAGCACACCTGATCCACCTGATCAGTCACTTAACCAGCCCAAAAAAACACGAAAAACAAGCCAACATCTCTGACCATCAAATATAAGGTTAGGAAGGTAGCAGTAAGAAAAACACCGATCAGGCATAACATCATGACCACCTCCTTGTTTCTACACTCATTGTCCATTTTATCAGCTCCACTTACTATATAGGTGCACTTTGTAGTTCTACAGTTACAGACTGTAGTCCATCTGTTTCTCTGCATACTTTGTTAGCCCCCTTTTACCCTGTTCTTCAGTGGTCAGGACCCCCATGGACCCTCACAGAGCAGGTACTATTTGGGTGGTGGATCATTCTCAGCACTGCAGTAACACTGACGTGGTGGTGGTGTGTTGGTGTGTGTTGCACTGGTCTGAGTGGATCAGACACAGTAGTGCTGCTGGAGTTTTTAAACACCTCAGTGTCACTGCTGGACTGAGAATAGTCCACCAACCAAGAATATCCAGCCAACAGCGTCCTGTGGGCAGCGTCCTGTGACCACTGATGAAGGACTAGTGGATGACCAACACAAACTGTGCAGCAGCAGATGAGCTATCGTCTCTGACTTTACATCTACAAGGTGGACTGACAAGGTAGGAGTGTCTAATAGAGTGGACAGTGAGTGGACATAGTGTTTAAAAACTCCAGCAACACTGCTGTGTCTGATCCACTCAGACCAGCACAACACACACTAACACACCACCACCACGTCAGTGTTACTGCAGTGCTGAGAATGATCCACCACCCAAATAGTACCTGCTCTGTGAGGGTCCATGGGGGTCCTGACCACTGAAGAACAGGATAAAAGGGGGCTAACAAAGTATGCAGAGAAACAGATGGACTACAGTCTGTAACTGTAGAACTACAAAGTGCACCTATATAGTAAGTGGAGCTGATAAAATGGACAATGAGCATAGAAACAAGGAGGTGGTCATAACGTTATGCCTGATCGGTGTAAGTAATAAGTAAGAAAACTGACATTTAGTAAATTTCACAAAGTGTGGTAATTAGAGATACTATAGAACTATAGGATGCATGATACTATGGAGGCTGCATCGAGTTTTAGAATCACACATGTTTAAAAACAGCGCTTCTAGGTTTGGTTTGAATGCACATATCATGTGATGAGGAATAAACGAGGCCTCAGAATGTGTAAGTGTGCCACTGAACTCTGGAACTTTGACACATTGACACCTCGGCCGAGTCAGTCATCTGATCCCAGATCCCCGAAGGGCCTGACCACAAACAGATAGTTTAAAAGTAATTCTAACACATCATAGCTCAAGTGTTTTAGTGAGAGAAGAGATAGCATAATACTTGTAAGCCAACATTAGTTCGCTGTGAACTGGGGAGACTGTGGAGGTGAATCAATAAAAGAAGTCACCTTAGAAGTCACTCAGCATGGCAGAATTTTTAAAAATAAAAATGATGAAAAATTAAGATAGAGTGGTTCTCCTCCTGTTTCAAACCAACTACGAGTTACAGCACAATCACAGTGACATGCTTAGCTGTTCAACCACACCCTTACAGTTAACACACAGCCTACCTTTCGATAATTGTTAATAATGAGATGCATTAGATTCGGACTGGAGGTAAAACTTGCAGAGTTTTTTTGTTTATTTGTTTATTTTTAATATCCCCATTAGCTGCTATTCTTCCTGGGGTTCAGTAGACATACTATACACTACAAAATAGTTTTTGTTATACAAAATAACAATCAATGAAACACAGGAAAAAAACAAAGAGAGAAACAAAACACATGTAAAATGGAAAATAACATAGGGGGACAATTCAAAACATAAAATAACAGTAGAAAGAAAAGGTTATTTGGGATTTCTTACAAGAAACTTAACCGAATCTATTCTGATCTACATCCCTGACCACTAGACCCTACCCCACCATAGTGTTGTTCTAACTGTCAAGAACCTATCTACATATCTGATCTTTAAATTCATTAAACAGTGTTTAATGATTGTGTTTGAATATTATTTTGCCCTCAATTTCAGACAGTGAGACTGGTAGGGAATTCCACTCCTTTACAGCTCTATAAATTACTGTTCCACACATGTAGTTAGTTTTTGCTCTAGGTCATTTAAAATACTTTTTTGTGGTATATCTTGTTATATTAGTTTCTCTACCTTTTAAATGCTCCAGTTGATCATAAAGATCTGCTGGATATTTTTGTTCATAAGCATTTTTAATACGTCCAGCAAGGCTCTTCTACCCTTAAGCATTCAATTCAAGTTCTAATGCATTTTATTTATGCTGGTTCTATACGATCATTGTAATGTAATTGTTGCTGTCTTATTTAGAGGCAGCAGGATCTACAGGAGGAGGGTTGGTGACCTCTGCATAGCAGTATATGGTCAGAATGACCAAGATAAAACGGATGGCCAGTAGATTACACTAAAGAAATAAGTGTGAAATGTTTTGAAAACTCACAGTTTTTCAACACAGTTGCTTTGAACACTTCAGTGTTTCATGGGGTTTTGTTTGCCCATCAAAACTAACATAAGCTGTGACTAAGTGCATTAGTTTGTGTGTTACAGTACAAACAAATCTACCAGATTAAGAAGCTGCAGCTGTCCTCCCACAAGGTTTTACTCACCCTCAACTAAAATTGAGATGCTGATTGGTTAGGCCGCTGAATGTCATTGTCTGTTCATGCATATAGATCAGCAGTCTGTACAGTTTAAGAAGAAGTGAATTGACTGTACCTGTCGTACAGCGTCATAACGCACATAATCAAGTTTAGTTAGACACCAAACATGTCTTGGCTGATCAACTACATTTGGGAAAGGAGACCTGACGTCATTCTAAACTGTCCTTTAAGTGTGTTTGTGTTTTCCGATCTGACCTGCTTCTCTTGGTTTTCTTTTGTGGCGGTCCATGATTAGTCCGTTCCAGGGGGCACACAGTATCCCACACAGCTGGGTGATGGCGAACGCGTTTGTGTAAGTGCTCACTGGAAAAAAAGCCATGACAGAGATACAGACATGATCATGAGCCTGTGTTGGTATGTGTGTGTGCACATGTTGGCTTCTCCATCCGTGTGTCTGTCTGTACCAAGGCCAGGGTCTCCAGCTGTGAGGCGGTTGAGCATAGGGTTGAGGGTCCCGATGAACAGGTAATGCCTCAGCTGCATGACTGACAACCACAGCAGGTGCCACAAGAAGAACCAGGAGAGGATGCAGCTCTTGAAGCTTCGCTCTGAAACATGAAAACAACATATAGAGTACAACAGAGCACATCTGCACACATGAAAACATGCATGTTAATCAGAAACTATAGCCTAGTTCACACCTGTCATTAATATCCTGGGTGATACAATCGTGAGTGGTGATACATGCGTGGACTGTGGACGTATAATAACTATATTTTAAATTTCCTGCGCCATTCTTTAAGATTTATTTCAGTAATTTAAGGCTCAGCCTTGCCAGAGAACAAAGCTTGGCTTTGGTTCTACGAGATTCATCACTCTTGGGTGCCCCCTGGGATGCAGTACTTCTGAAAATCCCTCCAATAAAATGTTCATAATCGCATTAAGAATGCATCATGTTCCATAATGCAATTATTTTGAACAACAATCAAACATAATGTTGGCAATATCACCTTGTAAACACATTTTAATATATTCAAAAATATTTTCCCCTGTAACTACATTATCAGACTGTCTATGGCACTGTTGGCTATATGTATGTGAAATGTAGTGACTCTGTGTTGAGCTGCTAGTGAGCAATGATGGGTGATGGGAGGGGCAGCTTTCTATATACATATGTGTGTGTATACAAATAAAGTGGCCATTATGAAAATTGCATTGGATTCATTGGATGAATTTCCTCCAAAAAAGGCAGAAATTGCTTATTATGGCTACTGTGAAAAAGAATTAAACCTGCTGTGAAAGCATGAGTGAAACGTATGCCTGTATAAAAGATGCACGAGGCTTCCTTTATTGTTGGATCTACTGCGATTATTCCGAGTGAGCGTGCAAGCATCACAATGACACTGAATACAGTGAAGCAGTGTAAACAGCTGACATCAGTTTGGTGCTGCTCTGCTACAAAGCATTAACTACTTTAAATGTTACTAAAATAATGTGCAGTAACCACAAAGCATGTGCATAGCGTTCTCTGTATTTCCACAAATCAATCATTTAGACTGGATTACTGCACTACAAAGTGAATCAAAGGCAGCTGACAGACCAGCACACAGACCACAATGCAGTCTCCTCTCACCTGCTGTCTCAGTCTTGGGGGCTTGGCTGGAATTCTGTGCATGAAATGGCGTCGTCTCGGTAACCTGGGAAGTCTGAATGTTGCTGCTACCAGCTCCATTTTCTCGAGAGCGAGACTTCCGTGCATTTCCACATTTCAGCCTACCACAGAAAATGAGACACAGTCCATGATGGGATTTGAAGTGGAATATAATGGGTTTTCACATACACTGCATGCTTTCTTCAGCATATCACGTAGAAAAATGTTTAGATCTTTGATCCCTTTGTTTCCCTTTCAGGTGTTTAAACCACTTTTTGGGCCAAAGGAGTTTGCTTTTGACAGCAGTTTGGAAAAAAGGCAAATCTTTTAATAGGTGTAATCTTCTCTTCACACCAAGGAAAACACTTTGATTAACAAGAAGCTAAGCTTTGCAAAGTAAACTTTAAACCTAGTGACTCACTGTTTCATGTTATTCCATCGATTTTTCAAATGTGTGCAGTTTTTAACCAATAAAATGGTTAAGAAAGCCATTCAGAGTAGTTTGATGTGAAATGCTCCATTCTGGAGAAGACTGCCAAGCCAGAATTGTTCACAGTGGTGGTGATAGGATCCCGATGTCTGAATGCCTCTAAAAGCTCCCTCATGGAATTTTATTACATAAAATAGTTATGAATTTGCAGCCTGATGCCTGAGACATTCTTGAGATCCTGTGATAGATTTGAGATTTTTTACAGTCGATTCATGGTGGAGGAGTACTTTTCAGATTTACCACTATTTCATCATCATCAGTGTTACATATAAAACTCCGAAGTCATGTGAAGGTTCATTGGAGGTTTTGGGTAGGAAATAAAATGGCATTGTAGACATCATGACCTCTGGTTCCTATCACCGCCACTGTAAAGAGTTCCCTACAAAGCTCCAATTTCACATTATACAACAGTTAGTTCCAGCCACGCAAGCTGATTGGTTGAGAGGCGTTCTAACTGTGCTGTTATTTCGCCATAACATCACAGGTTTTTCACAAACAGTGTATCACTCCGCTGAGATGCCGTTGCTAAGCAACGACTTTGACAGCTGTAGGAGACGCTCGAGCCATCTGAACATTTTTTACTTCTTACTTTGCCACAAACAGAAAATGGATACTTTTAAGATCACATTTGACCGACAGCCGATTTGGTCAGACTCTGAAGATGAGACTACACTAAATTCCCAAACTGTCAGTTGGTCTGTGTGGAGATGGAGAATGAACTGCCAGCTGTGCATCGAGTGGGCGGAGTTCGTTATTCTGATGTAGCAACAAGCTGCTCGTTAAGGAACCATAATTTGGTGAAGGAACTGCGAACATTAAAACATATTAAACGCCTCGTTCACGGCCCAGTTTATTAATTTATTATTATTATTATTATTTATTTAACTGTTGTATAAAAGCAATAGAACACTCAAGGTCGTGTGTCATCGCCAATAACACACTCCCTCTCGTGTTCTATTGCTTAATCAAACCACTCTGACACTGTTTACATCAACCACTGAATTATGCCGAAATTTGTAAAAAATGGTGGAATTCCCCTGGCCTTATTTTCTCATTTAGTTAAAAAGTAACAGTGAAAATCAAACAGGACAGTCTGCCTCCATACTTTTTCAAGGACAGTTCATCTATTTTTTTCATGGTTAGATTCCAAGGAGCTTTTGTTCTATTACACAGAACACACTGCAACAAAAAAACACAGTGATCTTTTTGTCTATGGTTGTCAGTCAGTGACACACAGAGTTTTTTTTATTAATAAGTGACCTCAATTTCCATGTCAAAATACCAAAGATGTCAGTCTTGGAACAAAAGGCACATCTACAGCAGACAGCAGGACTCGTTTGGATTGGAGTTGTTTTACATTTCATACGCTTTTCAGATGAAATCAGGCTGCTTTTGCTCCACAACATGGATAATAATAAACAGTATCATAATAAACATTAATATTGCATGGCATCTGCATACTATCCCATGTATGTTATTCTGGGGGAAGGGAGCAGACCTTTAGATACCTAATAAAAGAGAATGCTTAAATGCCCTTTAGGTCCTGTTTCTGTACACAGATTTTGTACTACTAAATGAAAGAAAATCAGTTTCTTGTCTTGTTCAGAAAATGATTGTTGATGTTTTTCATAGGAGGAATTATGGGGGCTGTGGTTTGTAGGTATATTTTTTAGAATTAGAACATGAGGTTTGTAGTTCATCTGTTTTTGTTTAAGGCTGATACTAAGAATTATTTAGTAATCACAATCTAGATGATTCATTTACATGGCAGAAAAGACTTTAGCGCAATGCAAATGTACCTGAATTGTCCAATAAAGAGTTTAACTGCAGTTAAAACTGCTGAGTTCTAACAGTTTAAGTTCTAACTTAAAACGGTTAGTGGCATCTTTCACAAATACATGCCAACATTTTTATATGCTTGCTTAAAGTGAGGTCAATAAGCTACTTGCTAAAAAAGATTTAGTAAAATGGCATGAACAGACCTTATTTACATATTAAAAATAAAACTGGAATTTTTTTTAATGATTTTTTTAGTTTGTACAGTTCATTGTGGACCACACTATTCTGAACCACACTGACTTGCCTGAATTAAGACCTGGATGTGGTTTGATTTGGGCATGTATTTATGGAAACAGTTTCGGTAACTATTGAGTTCCAGTATTTGTTAGCAATGTTAGCCTAGCAGCTCAAGTTCTAAAATAAAAGTGCAAAATTTTGATACTGAACATGTCTTGGCTGATTGACTGCATTTGGGATAAGTGGAAAGTCAAGTAAATTATATTTTTGCTGAACTATTCCTTTAAAGGATTTTGAAAAATAAACCACTTAGCATCCAAACCTTATAACAATAATGTGCTACGATATCAGTAGGCTATAGGCTATAGGCTAACTTAATGTGCTAATTTATTTATAGGCTTTTAATGTGGGAATTACAAAACTCATAGCAAAAACTACCAAACTATACCAAAAGCAAAGCAAGCTTACAAGTTTCTGACCAGAAATAAAAGCTTCTTTTCTCCAGTTTAAAGCAGCTTCTCTATGGCGTCACTACATTGTCTGCTGTGCTCAAACAGGTTTTTGGAGAGAGGTGCTGCGAATACTGATTGAGTGGTGAATGGTTCCTAAGCCTGCAATATGCAAATCAACGTGTTTACAGAGTCCAGTGTAGAAAGCCCAAGTGTAGTACTCCGAGACAAGGCTTGAGGATTGTCGTTTATTCACTCAGTGCTTTTACGTGCACTCCATAATCAGATCAATCAATTGGATTGATGCAGTTATCTGATTATTCAAATGGTCACGTAAACAGCACGCTCCAATCTAGAAATGTAATTAAGAAATCCGATAAAGAGAGCTGGATTTTAGCTTAATAATCTGAGTTCTCAGTGCATGTAACTCTTACTCGGATTTCTTTCCGATTTCTCAGTCTGCGCGTGCGAAAACAGACTGGAAATAAGTGAGCAGCGTCGCCGGGAGACGCAGCAAAACACTTTTGGAGCAACAGTGAAACCGACCACATGCTTAACGAAATGAGGGATTTAAATATTTAACGTTTAAATATTTTAACGTTTACGTCACGTATTCCTCTCTGAGTTTATTGGCTGGTGGCAAAGCAGAAATCCGATTACTGTCTGACTCATGTAGACCTGGAGTTTTCCCAGTATCTGATCTAGTGCATATAAACACGTTGATTGGATTACTAACAAAATCTGATTTTCTGCAGTTATCGGATTATTAAGTGGATGCAAACGCACTCACTGTCATAGTTCACATGAAGAGGGAATGGGATTTGTAGTTTACCCATAGTTGTAGTTCTCAGGAAGAGGGTAGGGTATGTGTGAGCGAGGCATCAACAGGAAGGTGCGGATCAGATGGACCACACTGCAGCTGGACAGGAAGATGAGGGAGGCACGTAGAGACACTCCATCTTGAAACAGAAGCTGAGAAACAAGAAGCAACGACATCACCATCTTCATCTTGTCCTTCTCTCCACCATAGTCATCGTCGTAACCAAATAAGACTGTCTAACCCTTGAACTTCACTACACTCCTCTTAATCGTGAGCTGTACTATTCGTAGCGCTGAATTGTTTCTTTTTACCTTGACAACAAGGAAGACAGCAGAAGAAGAGTCAAAGGCTCCATTATACAGGGTGATGATGGTGGAACGATGGGCTCCAAAGAGATTCCCCACCTGGAGTGTTACGTACATGAATACATATGTTTGAGTTAAGAGGTTAAAAGGGAAAACAGCTGATCTTCATGAGTTTAAGACATGACAAGTTCATATGCAGGACGAAAGTATGTGGTGTGTGAACCTCAGGGCAAATTCACACTGTTAACATACTGTTCCTTGTGAAAGCAGATGACCCTTATTTTTAGCAACAATTGAGAAGCCGGGTTCATTGTCATGATCTTCAAAGTCTTATGCTTAAGCATTATCCACTGTTTCATTTATATGGTTAACCCTCTACTGCACGATGTTGCCTCAGGGCAACAAACTCATTTTCCTCACTTTACAATAACATTATCCATATATAAAGACAATATTAGGGTAAAAAATAAAGGAAGAGTTTGAGAAAGCCAATAAAAAGCATGTGCTTTTATCTCTTAGTGGGCTTTTAAACCTCTTTTTAAACATTAAGTTTCAATTTTTTTGTTTTACGAGATTTTGCAGAACTATGTTTGTTGCCTAGAAGCAACACTGTGCGACAGTGGACAGAGGTCTAACTTTTTCAGGGAACATGGCTCTTTGTCATTTCTTCACATTGTTGCACATTGTTGCCTCAAGACAACATACTCCAAAAGGACCCCTGCACACATTCTTCTTCTTCTTCTTCTTTTTCTTCTTCTTCTTCTTCTTCTTCTTCTTCTTCTTATTATTATTATTATTATTTTAATGTTCTTGAATTTAATAATCAGGTCTGAACAAATAAATCAAGGATTTCTGCAAGAAAATAATGCAAATTTATGCAAGAAAAGTGAATTGATTTTTTTTAATTGCTTTCATAATGCATGCAGTAAAGGGTTAATCCCTCAAATGGCTAGGGCACAGTGTGCACTGAAGTCCCTGTAGTTACTGAATAATAAGCCTTAGTATGTAATAAGCCTGGGATCTAAAGGGGGTAAAGTCATACCTGCATGTTAGTGACTAAGAAGAGTATCCCTCCGACAGCAATGAAGGAGAGAGCGGGGTAGAGGAGGACTGAGAGTGCTGTGAGAGAGAAGAAGAAATAGAGAGAGTGGTTCCTCAGACTATTCCAATGCAATATAAGGAAAAATACTTATTAAATATATGGGGAAAACTGCTGATGATATAATGGTATAATATTGCTCAGAATCCCACTATTGCAAACATTCATAGTCAAAGACCTTTCAAGGACCTTAAGGTTAAAAAATTTAAGAAACAAATTCTAGTAGTGGTCAGAAACTTCACACAAATAAAACCCTCAGTGTACAGTCAGCTTCATAACATCGGCACATTTGGTAAAAGTGAGTAAAAAAGGTCATACATAAATGTCTTTGTGGTTAATTAGCTCAATCTCACTCTGAAATTAGGAAAAAAAATCTTTATTTAACGCCCTTTTCAGAAAATATATGCAGCTGCCCTGTTCGTGACCTTTTTATCCATCTTTACCAAGGGTGCCAATAATTATGGAGACTTCATTGGCAAACAATCCGACTGAATCCCATCAGTTGTCTTGTATGCAGACAAACTTTGACGTGATGTTCTAAATGCTCTACATTTCTAAGTTGTTTTTTTTTAATTTAAATATTAATTATAAATATGAAGCATATTCAAGACATTCCAAAACTAACTGTTTTGGTCTCCAGACTCAGACTGGACATGAGAACGCTGACTGGTATGTTAAGTTTGAAGCTGATTTGCAAATGTGTGTGGTAAAATTAGAGAGAAATACCTCACCAGCACTTGAGAAGGCTATCAGCAAGGTCCCAGTAGTGTAGATAGATCTGAGAGGAACAGAAAAACAGAGAAATTACAGGCGTGGCTCTATGGGGGCGGCAAAGGGGGCATTTCCTCCTCAACAAGGTCTTTCCACCCACTCATATTTGAACATAATGAGTCACTTGCATCACGACAAATAGCTAGATTATTATTCCCAAAGATCATTTGACGCTGTCAGTGGTCAGGTTCAGTATTGGTATAGACCACCTCATACCCTCCTTGTTGTAGGCTGGATAAAACATCTTGGTGGGCAGACCAGTCGACCATGTGCAGGACATACTGTCTCTGTTCAGCTTGAAAAACCACGCCCCTTCCCTAAACATCAGTTGTCCAGTTGTAACTAAGCTTGGAACAATATGCGACAGGGAATTTTACTCATTTCCTAAACTGAAGCTATGTGGCTAAATTAGCTTTCTATCAGGGGTGGCGCCACACCTCCAAAAGTGGTGGGGCAAAACATACCGTTTCAAAAAAAAAAAAAGGAAAAAAACGGCTGGCTGAGTGACGAAATGCAATTAGGCCGCTGCCTTTCTTGTCATGCTGAGAACACGTCTTTATGAACCTAAGTATTTTTAAAATCATATTACTTTTATTTCAGCTAAAGTGAACAAAGAAATCTTTTTACTCTGCTACATTTTAGCCATTCATATTTAGATACTACTTTTTTGGAAATCTTTTGATGGTGTCAATAATTGTACTGCTTTGTGATTGGTTACATCTCTGACTTTGGAGCTTTGCTGCATTTTAGACCAAAAGAGTGCCAAAAAGAGAAGAACAGAGCCGCACAATCCTCAGTTCCTATCCTGATACATGCTGGATGTAGTAGACGTTCCACTGCAGTGCTGAGTACTTAAGTAGATTTCCATCCTGCTTCTTTTGTATTTCTACTCAAGTTGATTTGGGGAAAGTTCTTTTACTTGTGTAATTATTTTATGCAACTATCTACACTTTCACAGCTTCAGTAGGTGCAGCCTCAGATGGCAGTATTTGTTAGCTATCATCTCTGAAGAACATCAGGCTGTTTTCATTCCCAGTTCATTCTCTAATGGCACACCACAGTTTAATTCTGTGATATTTTATCTCTTTCATTTGGCTCGGATGGTGGACTGCAAGGACTAAAGTGGACTAAATTACACACGTGGGTGTTTATTTATTGATCAGAAGGTTTGCAGGGATGAAAGCGCTCTGTTACTCTCGCATTCACCACCATGAAAACAGAGAAACAGGAACGATATGAGCGTTTGCAAAGAGTGAAATGTTAAAGCAGCAGATTGTGCAGACAGTACAGCAAAAACTTGCCCTGGTGTTGAATTTCCTCGTGAATTAGCACAGTTCAGTTGTTTGGTGGGGATCTGAATTCAGGTGGAGTCGCATGTCAAAACCAAATTCAAGAAAAAGTTGGACAGGTCCGCACCAACCTAGGCAGGTCTAAAAGCGCCTCCCAGCAGAAACGGAGATTCTGATTGGCTCTGCTGAGTTTTACTCTGTCTGTTCGTGCTGGTCAGCGCTTCATGCAGTTTAGGGAGGTTTTTATGTCGCACCCAGAGCTCAGAAAGTGGGGCATCACCACAGTACTTTGAAAAGTGGTGGGGCAAATGCCCGCTCACCACCGTGGCTCCGACGGCCTTACTTTCTATGTATAGCTAGCAGTCATAGCCTGTTTTGTTAACTCATTAGATTTGTGTCAGGGGTTACCCTCGCCACTAAAAAAAAGAGTTGACATGCCGGGCTCGAAGGCTTGCCAGACAGAGCAACAGCAGTTAAAGGAAACATGGTTAGTGTATTTTGTTATTATTATAGTGTACTCTTGTGTGACAGAGCTGCGGTATGGCGATGCTGTAGCACCTCAGACTGCATGATATCACTTAGGTCACCTGGGATTTTATCACTGCCCCCCCCCAAAAAAAAATATATATATATAAGTTCTCTGTAAGAAAGCATTATATATATATATATATATATATATATATATATGCATCCATTGACAGGAGTTACTGGATTGACACCTCCTTAGGCCCAGAACTGCACTGAGCAATGAAGCTTGTGGGACCCAAACCAATCCCTGAGGCTCGCTCTTGGTGCCAGGCTGAGCTGTTTCTCACTGAAGCTGTCTTGAATAACAGGATATCAAGAACAGATATCCTGCAATCTGCCAAACTTCTTCTTTCACATGTGGAATTGAGTAGCAAGCAAGCAAGCAAGCAAAGTTTATTATATAGCGCTTTTTACAACAGGTGTTGTCACAAAGCAGCTTTACAGAAAAATCAGCAATACAGAAAGAAATCCGGGCCCAAACCCCCAGGAGCGTCACCAGTGGGGACAGTGGCAAGGAAAAACTCCCTAAGAGAAACAGGAAGAAACCTTGAGAGGAACCAAGACTCAGAAGGGGAACCCATCCTCCTCTGGTCGACACCGGATAGTAAACATTGTTAGTACAAAAACGGGGAAAACAGGTGGAGCAAATGATAAATTTGATTAGTTTAGTTCATGCAATAGCAGCAGCAGCTTTAGTGGGGTCAGGTTGTGAGGGTGAGGTTTGCACAGCGTTGTACAGCATGAAGCTCAATGGTGGTCAAGCCGGTCCAGAGGGCTGGCAGCAGTTGCACCTGAGTGTCTGAGTCCCGAACATTAACAGGAAGACTATTCCAAAGCTGGGGGGCTTTGTATGAGAAAGCTCTCCCCCCTGACGTAGCTTTATTAATTCTAGGTACTAATAGTGGGCAGCACCTTGTGATCTAAGTAGGCGTGATGGTCCATAGTGAGAGAGAAGTTCACTCAGGTACTGAGGGGCGAGTCCGTTTAGAGCTTTATAGGTCAGTAAGAGAATTTTATAATCAATGCGAAATTTAACTGGTAACCAGTGTAGGGTTGATAGAACTGGGCTGATATGGTCAAATTTTCTGGTTCTAGTAAGAACTTGCAGCGTTCTGGACTAGCTGAAGGAAAATGCAGTTACTACACACACTGACCAAGAGGGCACAGGCTAAGGGTAAAAGGGCAGGGGTTCATGGGCCCATAGGGTCTATCTGTGTACATGCCTGATACAGAGATGATGAAAAGGGGATGGGAGGTACCTGCTGAGAAAGAGGACCCCCTTACCATTTAGCAGTTTAATTAAGATGCAATTGTGCCTGCTTTCCTGCCCCCTCTCACCCCTCTCTGCTCCTTAGTACCCCACCTCTTTCATTTCCTTTCTGCTTCCAGTTAAAACAGATTGTTATTGGAGATTTGAGTTTCTCTGCTCCGAGCTACGTGAAGCTAAACACACAGCTGGTCTACATTAGCGAGCTTATATAGCCCAACCAGTCTCACGCAGCATAAATAAACATTCCAGGGTCTACGTATTTCACATAGCAAATAAAACCCTTGAACCTTGATCACACAAATACACTCAGCCATAAATATACATTCTCTCTTTCGCACATCTCAGCAAGATGTTTTCTTTATCAGGCTTTCTCCCTCTCTCTGCTCTCTCAGGCACGGAGACATTCCCAGAGATCTCCTCCCATAACTGCAATTTTGACAGCAGTGTTTGCAAAGCCTAGGTGTGGCAATAAATTGCAGTATGTTCATGTTTGCCAGTACCGAACCCACAAAACCTCTGAAATACTCGTCATTCTTTTCCTCACAGATTGAGCAAGAAGCAAATATGATTTCAGGTATAAAACACTAGTCATTTGCAGTGGTTTTTAAACCACAACCACACGATTTAAGAAAAACTGGTGGTCAGCGTTTTGAATGATCTAAACCACTGAAGGAATTAATTATCCCCAGGAGATTCACTGGACAGACTCCGAATGCAAAAACCAAGAGCTTATGAAACTGTCCTAAACATTTCATTTTATTGTTTGTAAACAGCGGAGCCAAAAGACCACCTCCAACAGATGTACTGCAAAAAGGAAATGCTCAATGGGAGCAGCGTCCTTTGACCAGCGCTATGAGTTGGTTGCAGCGTCATTCCTCTCCAGGCTGTTGTCGGGGGGTAGGGGTGTTGGGGGGTGATTGGGATTGGGACGCTATCCCACTTCTGACACCAGTGAAGCAGCCACGAAGAAGAAGACGACAAATGACACGCTGTGTTTTAAGGGCGAGTGCTTTGTTATTGAACAGGCAGCAAGGGAGAGCCACTGCTCAGCTATTGCTAACATGGCCAGCCAGCAGGCGGGTCACTTCTAGCCATGCAATTTCTTCCCCACAGCCCAGCACAGAAAGGCATAAACAACACTGCTGCATGCACTAAGCTAATAACAACAACTTATCTATAATAAATGTCTCTCCTACCACGAGCAAGGTATAGCAGTATTTTACTAAAGGCTCTCAATAGCTTTAAAATCTCAGAATCTATGAATTTCAGTTTAGAAAGACAGAGGGGGAGAGAGAAAGAGAGAGAGAAAGAAAGAGAAAATCCCCTCCCCCAAACACAGTTAAGAAATCTGTTGTGCAGCACTGACTCTGAATTCCTAGAGCAAACTAGGCCCGTTAATTAGAGATGCACAGATCATGAATTTTCATGGTCAGTTTCAATTTCTTTTCAGTAAAATTGGCCGATGAGCATTTTTTTTAACCAAAGCTCACCCTGTGTCAGGTACACGAACACTTGAAACACACTGGCACATTTCTAGTACTTTTATAATCCCTTATTTGCTCTGTGATAAGCCGAACCTAAATCAGCTTTCTATTTAAAAAACATGAATCAAATAAAGTGCTATATCTAAAGTAAGAAGCCACTGGCTATTTATCACAATAAGTCATAAATATGCTAGTCTGGAAATTATGCTATTATATTTTGGTACAGCTGTAGCAGCAACATTTAAATACAGTGTTTGAGCACTTACCTGCCTCACGCTATTTACCTCATAACATTGCAACACAGATCACCCAAAATAAACGCAGTACATTGGCCAGTTTCACTTTTTGAGCTGTAATCTGCCGATTCTGATCTTGACCCATTGGATTCGTGGATCCCTACTGTTAATTGCGTCTAAATTAGAATTTTTCATGGTTATGACCACACCCTCAGCCCACCACCCTCACGCCCTCATGGTTTCATGAACCTTTTCGGGTCCTTCAAGAGTTCTTCAGTAAACGCATTAGAACCAAGACAACTCATAGAACTGTTCTTTTTATGTGTGCGCTTCTAATTATTCTACGTTTCTCTCCAGACGGTTTCCACGATGGAGAACCCATTGTATATAGCTCTTTAAAAAACCTTTTACAAATGTTTCTATATAGCACCAATATTGGTTCTGCTATTGTCACAAGCCATAGCCCCTTTTTCTGCAACTATATAGAACCCTTTTGGCTAAGAGTGATGCCACAGAAGAACCACTTTTGGTTCCTTAAAGAATCATGTTTGAAAAGATTAGTATGTATAAAGAACCTTTTAAAGTTTTGAAGAATCTTCAAACAATGTAAAAGCTCTGTACCAATTTAAGAGTTCTTTCTCGAACCCTTATGTTATGTTCTTATTTCACAAAAATGGTTCTCTCTAGAAACATCCATTGAAAGGACCTTTAAGGACCCAAAAGCGGTTCTTCTATAGCCTCGCACAAAGAAACCTTTCTGGCACCTCTGTTTCGATGCTAACTCCGGTTTTGCAACACGACGTTTGATTTTGTGTGAATAAAAACGCAAAATTCATTTGAGTCGCAGTTACTCATTGTCTCCTCAGCCGTGTCCCCAGGAGGGCAATGGCCCTTTGAATATTCTGAACTGACCAAATGGTATTAGACCTCTACTTCCCCACCTGCAGCACAGATACAGAGCTGTAAACAGCTGATGAATGTCAGATTATCCTACTGCTCACAGTTGTGCCTTTGTTTTGTGCTGTATTTCCCACTTTATCTGTAGTCAAGTCATTTTTTAAGAGGGTTTCCAAATGTGTGCACTTGTATAAAGGATTAAACTGGTTCTATGTTAATTTACAGTATAATCAGTCACTTTTTTGACAGATATGTTTGAAAATCAGACAAATGTCTAAATCTGATAACATGCAGAAAAAAAAACAAATAATGTAGGACTCACATTCCCACAAGTCTGGTTACCCTGGTACCACAGTGGTCAAACAGGAAGCCGTTTGGTAGCGTGAAGAAGTTGTTCATGAAGGAGGCGACAGTGAAGATGATGGAGAGCTGCTCATCTTGTGCACTGCAATCTAAGACAAGCGCAAAAACATCACGTTTTACAATACAGCTGCACAATATGTCGTTTGTTAATTGTTGTCACAATATTGATCTTTGTAATACTCATTTTTTGGGCACTTACTTAATCCAAGAAACAAATACATTTGGCCAATCTTTAACAATATTACACCAGTGGTTGGCGTTTATAATACTGTTGGTAATATACTGCAAGGCATAATGTAATCACCATATGTAGCAATGTAACTAGTGATGGCATATCATACTGGTAGGTACCAAAATGCTGGAGGAAAATGCTGGATTGATTATTGGAAAGAAAAAAAGAATAAATCCAATCCATACAGTCATATAGTTTACTTTAATTTATGTCTATTTCTCTATTTCTGACTAATTTGTGTCTGTTTTTATTCTTATTTTTATTTCTGCCTAATATATGCAAGTTTATGTGCAATTATGTGACTTGCTACTGTAACACACTATCAATAAAGTATCTATCTATCTATCTATCTATCTATCTAGTATTTATGATGCTCATCTTAAGTGAAGATCTTTCCTATAAATATACCTAATTTTAAAGCTTAGTTTAAAAAAATTGGATATTGGAAAGCTTCAGTATCGATATCAGAAAAGAAAAAGTTGCATTGTGCCGTCTGTAAATCTGTGCAAAAGACAGAAACAACCTTCCCTTTATTAAACTTCCAGTCCACATGGCTAATCAGCACAAGATATTCATTTTTCAGGACATAAATATGAGGAGATTAGATATAAGATCTATTTGCATAAAAAAGGGGAAAGTCAAAAGAAAATAAGTGGGGAAAAAAAAGATTTTTTCAAAAATATTAAAAGATACAGAGAAAATGTAGACTTTCCAAGTTGTCATCATCAGATAAACAGTACTTAAAGCTTTTGCCTAAGAGAGACATGAGGAGGAGCTGGGAGATACGAGCTCCACTCTTGCTTCAGATCTGAAAAAAACCACAGATGTTTCTGTCCACCCTTCCACTGTAATGAGTCTGAAGGGTTGTGTAGCTGTCAAGAAGCCTTTACTGAGAAAAGAAAATGGACAAACAATAAGAAAATTTACAAAGATGTTGCTGACATTCTCAGAACAATGGACTGGCCATCCCAAGGTCAAGTTCTCAACATGACTAAATGTGTTTGGGATTACTTGGATTGTGAGAAGCAGAAAATACAACCAACTTCTATGACTGAACTTTGGAGGTGAGGAAAAACGTCTCTGCAGATTTCTTTAAAAAACTGAAAGCAAGTCTACAAAAAAGAATGGAAGCTGTAATAAAGGCAAAATGTGAAGCTGAATTCTGAAAAATTTTATATTTCAGCACTTCCTCATTTTTTCCTGACACAGAAAAATGAATTACTTGTATGGTCTCTGTCTTTTGCATAATCATATGTTTCCCATACGGTGCAGCTCTGAGGTCGAGAGTGTGTACATATGTACACAGCTTACCTTCTGTGATGGTCCCATTGACTGTCCTGTTCACACACAGGTAGCTGAAGTAGCCGTCGCTCTTGAGCACAAAGACCAGCGAGGCCCATCCGAACACGGCCCCAGCGAAGCATAAACACTCCACCAAGCCTGTGACCAGTGTAAGCCAGTAGCACACCCTCAGCCCACCACCCTCACGCCCCAGCATCCTGCTCCGCTCTCCAATGCTCTGCACGCTCAGACTGTCTTACTGAAAGCTCCTGTCAAAATAAAAACAAATCATATGCAAAGCTACATTACATTCAGCTTACATTTACATATCAGATTCAAATCTGCACTTTTTTACATTTGTTTTGGTGTCAAAAACTGACAAAAACAATAAACATACAACAATGACGTTTCATTAAGTTCTAATGATAATAAACTCGGTCTACTTACAAGCACAAATGTGGTGTTGAATGATAGTTTAAATCCCCTTTGATGGAATTTCTCCCCTTGTTTTAATGAACTACAAGTGGTAAATAGGCTAATTAGTATAAATTACACCTCGATTTTGTGATCACCGGAAATAACTGAGTATTTTGTTGATGTTTCTCACTCCTGAGTTTCTCTATTCAGCCCCTTCCATGAAGAACCTCTGCAGTGTCCTCAGCTTCACTCCTCTGTCTTTATAAGGATCTCTCCCACTCATTCGTTCCCTCCCTTTTCCTCTCTCTCTAAGCACATCCCTCTTCTCCTTATCTCGTAGCTTTCACTTTGTCTCTGAACGAAAAAACAGATACAGTTTGAAGGGGAACCTTCTCTTGTCGAGCACAGAACGGAACTGAGTTCTTAAAGGAAACGATTTCAATGAGCCTGACCTACAAACAGAGAACGCGTGCATAAACACACAGCAGTACTCAGTGCCAGCTCAGTGTCTCAGTGTTTTGCATGCCCTCCAGCTGTCTAGAGAAATGATGTTAGCCAGAGATAGGTAACTTAGCCAAATATGGGTCAGGTCTAGTCAGGCCTGCTGAAACCACACAGCCACAGACACCATAGGTCTTACAGTGGTCTACTCGCCTTCAGTAAGAGCTGGGTGGTTCTGATAATGTCACCACACTTTCTAAATATACCACAGTATCAGGAAAGCAGACGATGCGTAAAGGAATGGTGTGGTGAAAACTCATGTTTACACAGTTTTTCCTGTGTCCCGAATATATCTAAATAACCAAGATGTTTCTGAAATTGACTTGTAGCACAAAAGTGGTGTTTCCGCTTTCTTTTCAGGTCGGGTAGTAGAAGCTACCATTCAAAGCTACCAGAGCTGTTAGAAATAAAAGTTCTGTGCCGCTACATTTTTTGTTCAATAAGGTACAAACGATGTAGAATCAGGTGTGCTCTGGCCCTTCGCAGGTACGATTGGACACCTCTGTCCAGTAGTATTCTTCAAGTCCTAATAATCAAAAACAGAGCTACACTGTTAGAAATAAAAGTGCTGTGCTGGTATAGTTTTTGTCCATCAAGGTCCAACTGTGAACCTTATATAAGTTTTTTTCCAGGTGAAAAGTATATATTTGTACCTTTTCATAACCGAATGTTTTAAAACAGAACAGTAAAATAAAAGCCTGGAGACGAGACGGGGTGTGTGGAGTCAGTACAGCTTAGAACATATCATTTCAGTGGATTATGGTACAGTTATGTTCCCTGACTAAAGGTACTGAGATGTACCCTTGAGGGGACCACCACAGAAACAAAAGAGCCGTTGTGCACTGTCAGAAATAAAGGTTCTGTGCAGGTACATTTTTTCATTCATAAAGGTACAAACAATGTTAATGTAGCTTCAAAGGTATAACAATAGTCCAACTTCATGCCTTAAATACATTTTTCCCAGGGAAAGAGTCCATATTTGTACCTTTTCATAACCTAACAGATCAATAAAATAAAAAGCCTGGAGATAAACAGGGTGTGTGGAGTCAATGCAAAATATAACTGCGATGGATTACTGTACAATTATGTTCCCAAACTCAAGGTACTAAAGACCCTTGAGGGATACCCACCCCAGCAACATGAAACATGCTATACAATATTTGATTGATTGGGAGTTCATTGTTTTGTATTTATAGTCGTTTAAAGTCACTTATATCAGAAAAAAAATGTACTTGAGGTTGAATGTGTTACAGTTTATATTGGGCTAAAGAATAATTTTCTTATATTTCTGTATAAAAACAGTCAAAATCCATTCAAATCATATTTTAACTTGTATTGACTGCACAGCCCTGTGATGGACTGGTGACCTGTACAGGGTGTTTCTTGCCTTTAACCCAATGACCGCTGGGATAGGCTCCAGCACCCCCGTGACCCAGAAGGATAAGCGGCTTAGATATTGTGTGTGTGAGAGACTCCACACACCCCGTCTCGTCTCCAGGCTTTTATTTTACTGTTCTGTTTTAAAACATTCAGTTATGAAAAGGTACAAATACGAACTTTTCACCGGGAAAAACTGATTATCTTTTTTCTGACAGTGTAGGTCTGTTTTTGATTATTAGGTATTATACCATTATTAAAGTATACCATTGGACAGAGGTGTCCAATCTAACCTGCAAAGGGTCAGTGTGGCTGCAGGTTTTATCTTATCTTATGACATTGTGTTTTGATGGATTGAAAACCTGCAGCCACTCCACCTTTTGTTGGTAAGATTGGACACACCTGCAACAGGAAGTTGCTTACGTCTGCAATCATCCAGAAGGGGGCGCTCACGCTGGTTTCACTCACTAATAAAACATCAAAGATTCAGCACCATATTAAAAAAACACTCAAGGACACTTTGGTTCCTTAAGGAACAACAATTTAATCCAATTGTGGCTAACTTGGATGCTAGAAGACTGGAGCAGAAACATGACAACAGAGTTAGCTATGACTTCGGTGCTCAACCCAAAACCTCATCAACTCATGAAAAACACCACACTAGCTGAAGCCGGACACTCATATGAGCACAAATACCTCTAAATGTTTTTGAGTTTATTAAGCCATGTTAATAAAAAAAGCGAAAATGGCAATTTTTCACCCTACATGGCCCTACATGGCTAACGTCTGGTCATCTCCATACCCTGCTGGAAAAAATCATAGAAACCATTAAAGTTTCAGAAGGTTTCATCTTCAGAAGCTTTCATCTGGGGGAAGAGCCTTTTCTTATAAAGCCCCCAAACTCTAGAAAATGTTCGGGACTCAGACTCAGTCGCGATCTTCAAATCTAGGCTGAAAACTCACTTGTTTAGTTTAGCTTTTGGTAGTTAATGTTCCCCCTTAGATAAAGGCAGCAGATCCAGGGGTCCATGGACGCAGGGAATTATAGTAAACTGAGGCGCTGGTGCTGTCGTCCCGCCGCTCGCATGCGATCACTCAGGTTTGTGGACGGTGGAGCGGAGGGATGTGAAATTGTCTCAGGGTGCTCCCGTATCTGTGTGTCCTTTTGGTTCTCTCCTTTTAGTTAAGCTGTTCTAGTCAGATCTGCCGGAGTCGTTAGCCACACTCTGGAAATGTTTTACATATTATTATACATACACCCATACAGAACTAAACTAACTCCATCTCCCTACCTTTTTCCGAGTAAATGACTGCCCACCTGTCCGGCCAGACACTGATGGATGATTGTCTGTCGAGCTCTCCTGCTACCCGCTTCAGACCAGTTGCCCATGCCCCAGTCACCGCCACTGGCCCAGCTACCGCCACCTGCCTTGGACTAGCTGCCCACCCTACACTGAAGTGGACTCCTAACTATTACTACTACTACTACTATTAATATTGGTAGTATAATAATTTTGTAGGTAGTTTGACCAGAGGAGGATGGGTCCCCCCTTGTGAGCCTTGGTTCCTCCCAAGGTTTCTTCCTCAGCTCTGAGGGAGTTTTTCCTGGCCACTGTCGCCCCTGGCTTGCTCACCTGGAGGATTTACATTTAATGTTAAAACTTTGTCCATAATGGATTTCTGTGAAGCTGCTTTGTGACAACATCAGTTGTAAAAAGCGCTACACAAATAAATTTGACTTTGACTAAAGTTTCTGTTGGTTCCTGGTGGTTTCCAATAGTCACTAATGGTATTTTGTGTTTCTGGATGGGTTGATATTACAGCGTAATAGATTCTAATGGTTTAACAGGCATTCTGGTACCGATTTCAGATGCATTGGATGGTCTCCTAATGGGATCTAAAGGTGTCCTACAGGAAACTAGTGGTCCCACACCTTTGCATATGACTGTATTTAGTTTTTACATATTATAACCTGTTCTTTCAAACCAGACTCCTCAACAAGTTTTTCTTATTTATCAAAAGTGCTAAAACTAAACATTCGTGTTGTTATGTGCCATCACTGATGTACCAGAATAGATGATATATCATCTAGCTCGGTTTTCGGCATCTCAGAGTCACTGGACAGCTCCAGGAATTTTGCCCACACGTTTCAGTCTAGAGATGCACAGTAAAAAGTGTCTTGTCAGATCTACTTAAAAACATGACTTTATGTGGTAACAAGTAAATTAACTAGTTTTATTCAATACAAATAAATACTTCGAAACAACGATTATTTCAATCAATCAAATAAAACTAGTTCATTTACTTGTTACTACATGATGTCGTTTTTTTAAGTAGATCTGACGAGACACTTTTTACAGTGTGGGCGATATGGCAAAAAACTGTAATATCACAATACTTTAGGAAGTTTTCACGATACATGATTTGTTATGCTATGTTTTTTTCTGACGTCTGATGAACTGGAACAGAGACAGTAGAGCTACATATAAAAAATACTATCATAAAATCTGAATACAACGACTTTAATTCAATGTTTCACATACCGGGCTGCACTAAAGTCAATTAAACAGGACTAATTATGATCTCTTTGTAATCAACCATGCAGTAAGGAAGTACTGACGGTGCTCACAAAGGCATATTGTGACATATTGTGACATCATTTATGATAATAACCATAAACATTGTTATATTGCCTGTTGCCCTATTACAGCCTCACACCACATGTTGACTGTGTTTATGCTTGGAACTTCTGAAATGAGGGAGCAATGGAGGCCTTAATATCGCTCAGTAATGAATCTGCTCACTCCATCATCTCTTTCAGTGGCCTACTTTCCAATTATGCATCTATGTATTGTGGGTAATGAACTTCAGAGCCAGTGTTTACCCTCATTAGCATCCTGACACTTGCCAATGTAAAATTCCACATGAGCATCCACATCCTGGTACTGAAGACAGTTAAGCAAATTGCAAATGAATGTCCTTTTAGCTCCTTTCCAGCTCCATAAATCTGCCAACAAAATCCACTAAGATTTTGCGAATGTAACAAAGTAAGAAAAAGTAAGACAACAATTGAGAAAACCATTGAAGAATAGAAAGAGCATCCATTTCACTGCTTGACCGAGTTTGCCGTTAAGATGTCACGACCGGGCTGACCTTCAAACAAAAAAAGCAGATAAAAACAGGTTCGCCATGTTAATAAGTACCAGGATCCACTCTCTCTTCAGCACTTTCTGAGCCAAGCACTATAATTCACCAGCACTTGACAAAAATGTGCATGCAGAGATACGCCAGGGAATGGAGACTAAGACAGAATATAGAAAGAAAAAGGTGTATTTGAAATGTTAACCTTTTTTAAACTACACAATAAACAGTCATACAGTGTAAAACCCATGACTAATCTAGCTAATGATATTATTATTATATATTTTTTACTGCATTCATGCTTGTTTGCATTTATTTTTGATGTTATATAGAGTCCATGGTGGTAAAAACACACTTACTGCCCAGATAATCGGTTTTAAACGGTTTACTTTGGTGCCTGTTGTTGCACAGTACTGTCCCGATTTAAATGCTTCATAGAATATTAAGCAAATAAAAAAACACACAAATATTATCTATCCAGAAATGTCACAAATAGTTCTATGAGTTCACTTAACTTTCATTGGCTGAAACCGAGCATGTTAAAATTTCAATGCAAATGTTGCTCTTATATGAAAATGCATATCATCATTTAGAACTTTTTAAAAAAATGTTTAAAATAAAAAAAGTAACCCAGAAAGATAAGCAGCTTAAAAGGTGGATGGATGGATGGATGGACAATATTCTGTGTACATTTTATATAAATGAATGTACAAAAATTCAAACAGTACTGTGCAGTTTTTCTATGCTGCCACCCAAAAAATCAATTAGAAATAATAATAGTAACATAACTAAATCAAAACAATGAAAAGGCTTCTTTCCAACAACAAAGATGTTCTGTACCATTTCATGTTCTGTAACATTTCACAGTTACGAGGTACAACTAAATACGTGTTTCTGACATTTAGAACTGCTACACAGCTTATAAACCTAAATATTTTTGCAATTTCATAGAGAACTAATGCACATACACTTCATGTCCCTATCCTCCGTCTCACAAACCTCAGATATCATTTTGCTTTAATTAGAAATATGCAACAGGACTTTGAAACCCTTTAATGTTTGACTGCTTTAAGTGATCTGAACACGTGAACTTACATGTCACTTTGGTAGGCTTCCCCAGTTCCTCTTTTGGAGAAAAATAAACACATACTCGCTCTCACACACACACACACACACACACACACACTCACACACTTCAAGTCTAAAATTATGCCTGGAGAACTTCTTCTGCCAGTGCTGCAAGATGCTTCCACATTACTTCCTTCTTCAGGGCATATTTTAGTTCACGGGTGGCACAAGACAAGGTTCCTCACTAATCCACGGGTTTTCAGGCTGACGCAACCGTGCTCTGAATAATCGGACCTAATCGTACTTTCACACTGCTCATCACAAGACTACTGAGAGATTTCCCTTTAAGTGTGACCAACTGCGTCAAATACTGGCACCACACACACACACACACACACACACACACACACACACAAAAGGACTTGAGTCCTTTCCTCACCCTGTTCTGTGTAAACAATAATATAACCCTTTATAACCCATTTTTCAAAATTCTCACATAATTAAATCACAAAGATGTAAACAAAGTCATTCAGAGTGGTTTCAATGCAAAGTGCTCCATTCTAAAGAAACTTCAGAGTCAGAATTGTTCACAGTGGTGATGATAGGAACCAGACGTCTGAAGAGTTTAATGCTTAAAAGCTCCCTCGCATACAGTTACAACATGTAATAAATTATGAATACACTGCTTGAGGCCTGAAACGATGTTTCTTTGCGTTTTAAGAGAAGGTTTTGGTCTAAGATATACATTTTACAGCACATGCAGGGCAGTGATGTACAGCCAGGATGTCCCAAGGAAACATGGTGCCCCAAAGAAACCTTTTTCCAGATGTTCTACTCTTTTACCCTCACCAACATTACACATGTATAGGAAAAGTGGTTCACTGGTCATTTTGGATAGTAAATAAAACGGCTATATTTGTGTTGTAGACATTACGACGCCTGGTTCCTATCCCCACTAAGTCAGTGAGTTTCTCTACAATGAACCACTTCACATCAGACCACTCTGAATTTTGTTTACATCTCAATGACTGAATTATGCTGAAATGTGAATCACTAGAATTCCCCTTTAAGAATCCACATGATCATAGAGTCAACATAAAGCAATACGTTCAATACTTTCACTCAAGGGTCACTAGCGGCCAGACTAGAGGCCCAATCTGGCTTGTCAGCAGTTTTAAGAGATTTTGTCACAGAAAATCTCAGAACATCATGAGATTTGACTTCATCTTTCTTCCTCAAATTATATTCAGGGCAATCTGAGAGCCATCACACATTTTACTTAAATAACTCACAGACACATGAGCCTATAGAAAGCAGCTGTATGATTAGGAAATGTACAGAGGTAAAGAGAAGGAAACAAACGACATATGACCAGAGATTCAAATGAAACAGATGACCAGTCACCAATTCATCTGTCTCACTGGGAAACAAAACAGGCCAACTCTTTCACAAAAAGTAACTGTATGTTGCCATTATTTAGCTTCCAAAAGTTTCAAAAGTCAGTATTATCTCAGTGGCACAACTGTCTCACTAACTTGACAAGGTAACACTTTAGTCAAAGGTTACCCACTTCATGGACTTCATAAGCAAAAGCACTGAACACCATTTAAAAACAACTTGAGTGTTTATGATAATGTCAGTCAGGTACATAAGAAGGATGTTTTGGGCCACAGTGCAAAAAAAAAAAAATTCTAAAATTACTTTTAATTTTAGAAATGACAATGAAATTTGCTTGTTTTCTCATTATTGTTATGTCTCAAACAAGTTGATGCTCTCAGGGCCGTCACACCCACACTAGGATCAAACATCAACGTATTTTTTGTTAGACCATATAGTTACGACTTTAAAATGATAAAAAATTCTAATACATTTAATGTATATAATATGTTGCAGGTTGTGAAGGATCTGTTTGAAAATGGTTTCCATGGATGAGATGCATTTTGAACAGGGGGGTCAACAGAAATCAGGGGCCTCTGTGTAGTGTTGATAGAGGTCAACTTTTGAGATACAGTTGTATGCAAAAGTTTTAATGCCCCCAGTCAAACTGCATGTTTTTTGGAATGGAATGTGTAGCACTGTCGTCTCACAGCAAGAAGGGTCTGGGTTCGATTCCCCGGTCAGGCAACCAGAGTCCTTTCTGTGGAGTTTGAATGTTCTCCTCGTGTCTACATGGCTTTCCTCTCACAGTCCGAAGACATGCAGTCAGGCCAACTGGAGATGCTGAATTGCCCCTAGGTGTGAATGGATATGTCTGTGAGTCTGTCCTGTGATGGATGAGCAACCTGTCCAGGGTGTTTCCTGCCTTTCGCCTGATGAATGCTGGGATAGGCTCAAGGCACCCCCTGCAACCCAGGAGTATAAGTGGCGTAGAAGATGGAGGGATGGATGAAACTTAAATATAAATTTAAAACATTACATCTAAAATGTGCTGTAACATATGCACTGCTGTGTCTGATCCACAGTGGATCAGACACAGCAGTGCTGCTGGAGTTTTAAACACTGTGTCCACTCACTGTCCACTCTATTAGACACTCCTACCTTGTCAGTCCACCTTGTAGATGTAAAGTCAGAGACAATAGCTCATCTGCTGCTGCACAGTTTGTGTGGGTCATCCTCTAGTCCTTCATCGGTGGTCACAGGACGCTGCCCACAGGACGCTGTTGGCTGGATATTTTGGGTTGGTGAACTATTCTCAGTCCAGCAGTGACACTGAGGTGTTTAAAAACTCCAGCAGCACTGCTGTGTCTGATCCACTCGTACCAGCGCAACACACACTAACACACCACCACCACATCAGTGTTACTGCAGTGCTGAGAATGATCCACCACCCAAATAGTACCTGCTCTGTGAGGGTCCATGGGGGTCCTGACCACTGAAGAACAGGGTAAAAGGGGGCTAACAAAGTATGCAGAGGAACAGATGGACTACAGCCTGTGATCTATGCCAGATCAGTGTATATGTATATATATATATACATATATATTATATGTAAGTGTAAAAACAGATATCTGAGCTAGTTTTGATGTTACAACTTCTACTTAGTAATATTTGAGGTGAAACTTGAAACCTTTATCACTCGCACTGTGTTACCGAGTAACTTCGAACGAATATGTTTAAGCTTGAAAATCACTTATTAACAGATCTTTTGTCTTGTACACGTGGCGCCGAATGTTGTGCACTGAAATGGCACTCTTTTCTTGGAATGACTCATATGAACATGTTTACCTTAAAAAAGTAAATAAATAAGAATGATATTATAAACTTGCTGAAAAAAGTCCATTAGAACAATTAGGGTCAAAGGGTCATTAGGGACAAAGTCATGGGTTTGTTTACTAACTGAAATTGGCTGAATGGTCACTATTAGAGACCACTAGTTTCCTGACACCTTCAGATCCCATTGGAAAACCATCAAATGCTTCTGGAATCAGTCACAGATCACCATTAAGATCCTTTACACTGTGATATCAACATATGAGGAAATGCCTTTACTGACTACTAAGGAATAATAATAATAATAATAATAATAATAATAATAATAATAACTGGCATGGCCAACATATCTACCCATTTCAGGAAACATTGCTGTCCATATGATTAGCTTTCCCACTGAATAGCTAAGCATATAGCGAACACTGATCGCTATTAATGACGCTAAATTGCGCCGTTATGATGAATTGGGAGATATTGCGTACATGTAGCTTAAATGACTCGTCAGGGTCAGAAACAGCCAGAATAAAAGCAGGAAAGGCTCAGGCATTGCCTTTAACACACGACTACATGTCTATACACTTCCTTCCTTTCCGCAGCGGAGCAGCAGGTCTCAGTGAGTCTTTGAACAGACCGTCTTTCATGCTGCACCTATTTACTTTAACGTCACCGTCGCGGCCGCGGACAATGCGCTTCTCAGCCTTTGTTAGTGCAGGCGAGCATTTGCACAGCTATTCTCGGCCACTGTTTGTGTGTGTTAGTAAGGAGAAAGGGAAACGGTTATTTCTGACCAACCCGTGTCCAGCTGTCTGATGTGCCAGCGGTAAAGCCTCCGTGTCCTGCTGTACTGAGAGGGAGGCTTCTGTCTCACTGCGGGCTGCTGGAGCGGATCAGCTCCTCATTCGCCCTCAGTGCTCTCGGCTCTGCTGCGCTCCCGTTCCCGATTCAGCTCAGTCAGCGCAGGGTCGGTTAGTGTCACACGCAGAAGAGTAATCAGTTAATAATCGATATTGAGTTGATACAGAGTTGAACTCAGTTGCCTTATAGCTCACATATAAAACAGGAGCGAAGCAAGATGTAGGACTTCACTGAGCCCCTGAAAATAAAATCTTTGCAACAACACTGAGTTCCCTCGCAATATTGCTGAATTCTTTTGCAAACTTTTTGCGTTCCGTTTTATTTGCGAGCGACCGCAGGATCATTCCAAAGGAACGCAGACTTATCGTGAGGAAATTCCAAATCATTGCAAGGGAACGCGAAATCATTGTGAGGAAATGCAAAATTATTGCGAGAAAATGCAAAAGTATTGCGAGGGAATGCAAAATCATTAATAAAGAATGCAAAATTATTGCAGTTATTGTGAGAGAATGCGAAATCATTGCGAGGGAATGCAAAATCGTTGCAAAGGACTTCAAAATTATTGTGAGGGAGCACAAAATTATTGCTAGAACGCAAAATTATTGGGAAAGAATGAAAAATCAGTGCAAGGAAATGTAATGCCTTTACCTATTTTTAACCATGGTCCCTTAAAGCAAACAAGTATTCACTTACATTCACAACTCAAAAGACTGAATCTCTGCATTCACGAATCAACATGACATGTTTTGTTGATTTGTGAAAATAAATCTGTAATGATGAATAATCAATAATTGATTAGCTCCTTTGAATTCTGTGAAAGAAGGCACAGTGACACTCCAGCCATCTGGACATTATGGGTTGGTTTCCAGAACTAGGATTAGGCCTAGTGAATTACATTTTTCAGAAAGCTGTTTAGTGCAGGACTAGGCTTAAGCTCTGTCTGAGAAACTGACCCTGTATGTTAATTTTGTTTACTGGGAAAACTACACAACTGGCCTTCAGCAACCAGGAATTGGTGTAAACAAGCTGAAATACTTTCTGATACTGGAAATTCATGAAGGTCCACTGTATATAGAAGCCATCAAGTAGCCTTCCTAAGTTCATCCAACCTTCTGGTGTAACTACCATCACTGAGCAAATAAATGTAGTCATGATGCAAAGGGCAATGGATTTCTGCTACACACAACATATGTCCAAAGGTTTGTAGACACCAGCTTAGCCAATGTTTCTCCTGAAATCAAAGGCATTAATAGGGTGTTCATTCCCCTTTGCTGCAGTAACAGCCTCAACTCTTCTGGGAAGGCTTAGACGCTGGAGCACTGCTGTGAGGATCTGATTGCAA